CCCGCCCCCTGCGCCGGCGGCGCCGCGCTGGAGCGGCCTCCAGACACGGCCTGGGCCGGCGCGGGGGGGGCTCGGCGCCGACCCCAGCGCGGCGGGGCCCATGCTGCCCCGACACTGCCCCTGCGCGGGCGCGCCCGCGAGGAACGCGCGCCGTTGGGCCGAATGGGCAGTCGAGGCCAGGTCGCTCGGCAATTCCCCCACCATGCGCCCATAGCGTCTCGGCTGGCCCGACACGCGGGCGAGCTGCTGAGCGCTTGCGGGGCAGGCCACGCTGCGATGCTGCACGCAGGAGCATGGCGGCTTGAAAACTCGACAAGGCAATAGCGCGCAGCACGAGGAGGCCAACGCGCCGCGCTCTGTTGCGGGGGGCGTCAACCTGGCCAGGAAAGCGTCGATGCGCCCCTGCGGCAGCCAGTTTAAGTTCATCAGAGCCGATGATGCCGAAGCGCGCCCCCCCTCGCCCAGTTGGCCCCATCGTTCGGCCAAGCAGCGCAAGAGGAAGGTCGTCGGTGGCACTGGGCCGCCGTCAATGAGGCCCCCCTGGACCAGGCCAGCCGGCGGCCATTCGCCCGCGCACTCGCACGCCGCACTGGCAGGGCGCGCCGGGACGCAAGCCGCCCGGCGAAACTCGTTGAAGTCGGAGTTCGCCACTGACAAGATAACTACCTCGCGCGCCCATTCCTGCAAAGGCACGCAAGCCTAATGATCAGGCCCCGCGGCGCGGAGGCGACACAGGTCGCCGCTGCCGCCACCTGCGCGCGCGCAGCCGATGCAGCTTGCAACTGCACATGCCGACCCAGATGGCCTTCCATCCGGAAAGCAGCTCGCGCTGCGGGCCGGGGATTTTCGTGCGGCGCTGCGTGAGTCGTCGAGGATACTTGCCCCTAACGTGTTCCTCCTCGCCAGCGCACTGAGCGCCTACTTCTGTTGCCTCGCCATCGCGCACGCGGTGCTCGGAGCATCCCGCGACGCAATCACAAGAGCGCTCTTCGCGCGTCGCGCGGTCACTGCACTGACCACCGGCAATTGCACGATTGCCCAGAGGAGCGCGCATCGGGATCCCGCCCTGGCCGGCTGGCGGGGCTGAGTAGGCAAAGCGCAAGGTCGGGCCCCGAAGCGCGGCGTCTCGGAGCGATGGCGCCGCAATCATCATGCACTTCACTGCATTACCTCGGGGGGGGCGAGAGCGCCGATTCCAGACCCCCCCCCCACTGCATCCCCGCACGGCACCGGCGACGCAGTCGCAAGCTGCCTCTGTTATGTTTGCTCCTTTCCGGGCTCTCGCGACACAGTCCCAAGAAGCTCTAGACCTTACTCTGACACCGCAGCTGTAAACGTCGTGTAACACCTGAGGCTATCCCCACGGGCGGGGGCACCGACAGTCTGGGGACCGCGAGGTGCCTAGACTCAGTCCGAGCATGTTGGGGATGGGTCGCAGAGCGGCCCTTCTAAATCTTGGTGATGTTGTCTTTGATGAAATATGTCGCACGTTCTCGGTCACAGGTCCCGGCGGATGGGCGGATGCCCCGACGAACCGTCGAATACCGTATCCTGCCGTGGTGAACGGGATGAAGTGCACGAAGGCAGAAGAGTTGAAGGTGGCGCACACGCTCCCACTCGCGAGCGCTGGCCGATGGGCTGGTACAGCCCAACAGACCCTGAAATAACGTATCCAGCCAGAGCAGGGGAGGAAGTGCACAATGGCGTAGATGTTCAAGGCGGTTGACCGAAGCCGAAGGCGGCGGAAGGTGGAAGCCATTGCAGTCGACGCGACGCGAAACATGGCAACCGTGGTGGGAGCACGGACCGTGAACCTGCTCCGCCACCAACTAGAAGTGAGGATGCAAAGAGTGAAAGGAAGAATAAGGCGGATGATTTCTGTGACAGCGTGCAAAGAGACCGTGTAGAACGCGCGAATACGGCGGTCACGGCCAGATGTCCCCCCGGCCCCAAAGCACAAATGGCAGCAGAAAAGGGAGACCACTACAGCAGGCAAAGATGAGAAGGACCAGGTGAGTTACCGTTCGGTTGGGGGGGCAAGAGGGCGACGGAGGAGGGAAGAGGGACGAAGGAGCAGAAAAAGGAACGAGGGGGGAAAAGAGAGATGAGGAGGACGAGGAGGCGCACCCCTTGCGCGAGGCCAAATCCCGCCTCTACAGCGCAACTACACCACTGAGGGGCGCACCTGAGGAAGAAGACTGGGAGGGGGGAGCAGAGCGAGCAGGAACGAGAACGGAACGAGTTACGTAACCAAGGAGCAGATGAAAGCTGGACAACCGAGGGGCGGACGCCGCCGCCGTCGCAACCGCGGGCGCCCGCTGGCAGCTGCCGCTGGCTCCAACAGCCGGCAGCGGGAGCCTCTCCCGAAGGGGGGAAGGCTTCCCCACTTTCCCCCTCCTCCCCCCCCCTTCCTCCATCCTCCTCCTTCACCTCCTCCTCCCTCCTCCTCCTCCTCCTCCTGATCCTCCTCCTTCCTCCTCCTCCTCCCTCCTCCTCCCCTCCTCCTCCTCCCTCCTCCTCCTCCTCCTCCCTCCTCTCCTCCTCCTCCTCCTCTCCTCCCGCCTCCTCCTCCTCCTCCTCCTCCTCATCATCTCATCATCCATCATCTCCTCCTCCTCCTCCTCCTCCTCCTCCTCCTCCTCCTCTCCTCCTCCTCCTCCCTCCTCCTCCTCAAACATCATCATCATCATCATCATCATCATCATCACCACCACCACCACCACCACCACCACCACCACCACATCATCATCAATCATCATCATCATCATCATCATCATCATCATCATCATCATCATCATCATCATCATCATCATCATCATCATCATCATCATCATCATCATCATCATCATCATCATCATCATCATCATCATCATCATCATCATCATCATCATCATCATCATCATCATCATCATCATCATCATCATCATCATCATCATCATCATCATCATCATCATCATCATCATCATCATCATCATCATCATCATCATCATCCGCCTCCTCTTCTTCTTATGTGTATGATTCGGAGGTTGGGGGGTGAGTCCGACGTGAAACGGAGACACCCCCTACCAGGAAATCGATTTCGGTTTCGGGTTCGTGTCGTGCGTGCCGTGCGCGCGTGCGGGCGAGGCGAAGCTGCGTGGGCGGGCGAGGGGAAATCCTCCTGTGGCTGGGACGCGGCCAGACCAAATGTTTCTCCTGCGGCGGCCGGTGGCCCGCGGTGTCCCGCTGGTGTCCCGAAATCCTCCTGTGCCGCGGCCGGACCAAGTGTTTCTCCTCCGGCGGCCGGTGCCCCACGGTGTCCCGCCGGTGTCCCGCTGGCGTCCCGCCGTGGCTGCGGCGAGATATCCAATGCAAGTCTACATGCAAACAGACATGCAAACCGAAAAGCACATCGAAATGCAAATCGACATGCGCATCCAAATGCCAATCGTAAGGCGGCGTGGGTTGCGTATCCAAAAAATCGGCGCCTGCGACGAGCTTTCCAATGCAAGTCGACATGCAAATCGAGATGCAGATCGAAAAGCAAATCGGCATGCACATCGATATGTCGACATGCAAATGGAGATGCAGACCGAAAAGCAAATCGACATGCATATCGATATGCGCACCACAGGCATCGTCAGAACAACAGTCACCACTGTTGCCCATTGCTGCCCCCCCAAACCTCCTTATCACCCGCAGGGTGGTCGTATAGGCATCTTATGATGCTTATTATTCGTCTTCCTCCTCCTCCTCCTCCTCCTCCTCCTCCTCCTCCTCCTCCTCCTCCACCTCCTCCACCTCCTCCACCTCCTCCCTCTCCTCCTCCTCCTCCTCCTCCTCCTCCTCTCCTCCTCCTCTCCTCCTCCTCCTCCTCCTCCTCCTCCTCCTCCTCCTCCTCTTCTCCTCCTCCTCCTCCTCCTCCTCGCCTCCGCCTCTCCTCCTTCCTCCTCCTCCTCCTCCTCCTCCTCCTCCTCCTCCTCCTCCTCCTCCTCCTCCTCCTCCTCCTTCTCCTCCTCCTCCTCCTCCTCTTCCTCCTCCTCCTCCTCCTCCTCCTCCTCCTCCTCCTCCTGCTCCTCCGTCTCCTCCCCGCCCCAGGGCCGCGGCCGCGCCGGGCACTGTCGGGCGCGGGGCGCGCGCCAAGAGGCGCCCGCGCGGGAGGGCACTGTTGCCGAGACGGCCGAGGGCGCGAAATGACGCGCTCGCTCGCGCACCGTCGCCGCGCACCGACTCACAAGCAGAAGCTTCGCCCCACCACTCGAGAGAGAGAGAGAGAGAAAAAGAGAGAGAGAGAGAGAGAGAGAAGAGAGAAGAGAGAGAGAGAGAAGAGAGAGAGAGAGCGAAGAGAGAGAGAGAGAGAGAAGAGAGAGAGAGAGAAGAGAAGAAAAGAGAGAGAGAGAGAGAGAAAAAAGAGAGAGAGAGAGAGAACAACGGACAGGCCTCAAAGCTAGTCGCGATGCGCTATGTTACTTTATATTCGCATGTTTAGCATTGAGCCAACCTGGCCACGGGCCTCTCGCCCCCTCCCTCCCCATCGTCCCCCCGACCACCCCCCCCGTCGCCCCCCCCCATCCCCCCCCCTCCTCCGCGCCGACCCGAGCGACCGATAGCATTGTCGAAGTTGCGCCGCTGCGCCACTGCGCATGGCGCGACGCGCGCTCGACGCGCGGCCAGCAGGTCTTCGCTCGAAATTTCAAACGAGGAGCGACGTTGCGACGCGCGCCATCGCGGAGCGATTTCCCATGTTTGTCTTGTGTCTCTGTGTATCCTTTTCTGTTTTCTGTGTCTCTGTCTCTCTCTCTCTCTCTCTTTTTCTCTCTCTCTCTCTCTCTCTCTCTCTCTCTCTCTCTCTCTATATATATATATATACATACACGTCTGTATGAATTATCTCTCTCTCTCTTGTGTTTGTTCCTCTCTCTCTCTCTCGCTCTCTCTCTCTCTCTCTCTCGCTCTCTCTCTCTCTCTCTATCTCTCTCGTCTCTATCTCTCCCCCTCTCTCCTCATACATATGTGTGTACACCATGACTTGCTCGTTGCTGCGCTCGTGTATCGGCTTGCAGCCGCTCGAGATGCCCGCCGCGCAGCCCGCGCCTCGCCCCCTCTGCTCCGCCCACTTCCCCGCGCGCCTTCTCGGCGGCCCGCGCCTCGTTCGCGCGGCGTCTCGGACGCCGACGCAGCCGCGCGTCGCGGCTGCCAGCACAATAGGGACCCCGGCTTTCGGCATAGTCGGCGCACGCCAGCGAATCGCACGCGCAGCACCGGGAAGCCCGCCCTCCGCCCGCGCCCGTTGCGACGCCACCTCCAGCAGCGGCCGTCGCCACGGTCGGTTGCAGGGCGAGGGCAGCGGCCGCCGATGCCTGCGCGGCGGCCACCCCACTTCCACCTTGGAGCAAGCTGGCCCTCAACGCTTGCGCAGCAATTTGCTCCGCCCCCGTCTCCTCGCCACGGTCTGCTTCCAAGGGCCAAGCTCACCACTTCAGCCTCTGGTGCCCTGAAGGTTTTCTCAGCGCGCGCAAGTTCTCTTCGCGGCCTTCTCGCGAGCCGCCGCCATTTCTATTCCTCGGCTCCTCGTCGTGGCTTCCGCTGCGGCTCGGGCTGCTTCTTCGGCCCCACGCGTTCTCAGTGCCACCTTGAATATCCGCAGCTTCTTCGGCAGCGATACGCCCCTCTCGTCCCTCGCGCGCCAGTTCCACCCCGCGGGCCCTCATTGCTCATTATTTCTCTTCCCCATCAACAGCGACCTGATGCATTTGTTTCTGGAGCATCTCATCCATCTGTTCCACATGCATCTCTGCTTGCTGCTGCTGGACAGCCTCGAACACGACCCGTCTAAGGCCAAGGCGCATCCATTGTCGTTGGGGAAAACTGGACGCAGAGATCATTGGCGCTGCAATGCTCACAGACCTGCGAACACACGCACCAAACTGGTCTTAGACATCGGCCCGATCCCCCTGGACAGCGATTCTCCGCAATCGCGGCACACTCGGAGGACGGTACCCAACATCTCTCGACCATCGAGACCGCGCTTGTAAACTAAATTACGGATGGAGTTGTAGTCATCTGCCTCCGCTCCCTCGCCGTACCAGGGTCAAGACGAGCACTCCTGGACCTGTCCTCGTCGAAGCTCAATTGCGACGGGACGGGCGCGTCCTATTCAACCGCCCTCGTTCGTTCCAGCGTCGAGACCTAGGCAAACCGTGGGACTGGTGGACATCTTCCATTCACTGTTTGATCGAGTCCGGAAACCACGGCCCAACGGCAACAACTGTTTGATCTAGTCTGGAAAGTACATGAGTCCGGAAACCACGGCCCAGCGGCAGAGCCACTTTAATCAACGCGCACACCAGGAATGTCATTCATCGATCCAGCTTCCCTGTCTTCTGGGGCTTGATTAACAGACTCAAGAGACTGCGATGGTACAAGGCAGAGCCTTCTCGCCCCCATCGTTCCGTCATGACCTTGCCATTTCTCACGGGCTCTCCCTGACGCGGAAGAGCTGGCGCTGGATGAAGAATTATCCCTCGCCGTGTCCGAAAAATGCTGGACATTGATTGCGTCGGTGCCAACTCTGGAAGACTGTTTCTTGGCGTGCCGGGCTTTGGTCCACTGAAGCGGATCGGAACTATTTAGTGACCCAGGAGCCACTTCCGAAGCGAGAAGTGGCAATACAGATTCTGGCTGTTTTTCCTCGTCGGCCTGAACGTCGATGCCAGTGGCCTCGATCGCGTCGACGTCGACGTAAGGATTCCTTCTTGTCGGCTGAAATATGTTATGAGATCTTTCACCAGGCGAGGCTGGCCGCCCCACATGCTGACATGGTTTATGTTCAACTGAGTTGCTTCTCCATTTCCCAAGTCGAAAGGGTCGCCAGGTTTCTCCAGACGCCGCCACTCGTAATCGTCGTACACAAATCCGACGATGAACGTAAGAGCGAGCCTGGGAATAATTATATGTGCCATCGGGGTGGGGGAACACAAACAGGGGTCCTTTGATTCGGTATTTGGAATCATAATACTGACCCCGTGTCGGGACGCTGCAACTGCCATGACGTTATTCATGACGTTAAATGTCACGATGGCATTCCGCCATCGATTCGGCAAATAACCGGTGATGTACCACATGTTTCTCAAATTTCAACATTCGATCATTGTCTTTACCCTGGTATCCTAGTTCAGAAATTCCGAATACATGATATTGTTGACGGACGTTCCCGATATAGTTCTGTGAAGTAGGCGCGAAACTGTTTAATGTTACGCGCGCGCTATAAGAGAGGCGCGCGCACCCTTCTTCCCGCCAAGACGCTTCGTGTCTCGGTCCACCAGCTGCTGCCTCTCAAATTACTCGGGCCGAACGCGCGGAAGCGCGCGCGCAGGCTCGCACAAAAGATAAGCAGGGGGAGCGGCAGCAAGGACTAGGAGGGAAAAAAGGGGAGGAGGGAGGAGGGAGGAGGAGGAGGAGGAGGGAGGGAGGATAGAGGGGGCAGGGAAGAGCAGGCCCCTCCAGCCAGGCCTCCACGGCCCGCTCCCGCGCCGCCACGGCGGCCTCCCGGCGCGCCAGCGCCTGCTCCCAGCGTGAGAGCGCCTCCGCGAGGCCGTCGCTGTCGTCGTCGACGTCGTCGTCGTCGTCGTCATCGAGGTCTTCGTCGTCGTCGTCGTCGTCGTCGTCGAGGTCGTCGTCGTCGAGGCCCCGCAGGGTATCGAGAGGCCGCCGCCGCCGTCGACGGCAAACTCCACAGGGACGACCACGACCAGAACGACCACGACCACGACCACGACCACAACGGCGGCGACCATCACGACGACGACCACGACGACGGTCCACGACGGCAACCACGACGGCGACCACAGCGGCGACGCGACGGCGGGCGGCGCGGCGGCGAAGGGGAACAGCCAGCACCTCGCGCTTCTCCGACAGCCGCTGGGCGCACAGCAGGCGGGCCTGGGCGCACGCACGCGCGCGACATGGGCATCTGCACGCCGTGCGGGCGGGCAGACATCCATATCCACCACTCCTCGAGATCCTAGGGCACAACACCGAAACTGTGGAGGAACACACAAAAAAACCTGCATTATAATTCTCCCAGTGCGACCCTACCTAGGAGTTGGAGCATTTAGGAAAGCAACATCTACATCTACACCGACAGCTACAATTACATCTACACCTGCATCTACATCTACATCAACATCAACAGCGAAACTCAGGCTGGAAGCTGTTCAGCACTGCTCGCGGCTCCTGCAAGAGCTGCAGGCTGTTCAGCACTGCAGGTCCGGCTTTGCGTTGCTTGTGCTTTGCTTTGCTGTTGCTGCTGTTGACTTGCCTTTGCTTTGCTGCTATGATATGCTATGCTATGTTATGCTGCGCTATGCTATGCTATGCTATGATTTGCTATGCTATGCTATGCTGCGCCATGCTGCGCTATGCTATGCTATGCGATGCTAGGGTACGCTCGGCTGCGCTGTGTTATGCTAGGCTATGCTATGCTGTGTTATGCTGCGCTATGCTATGCTATGCTATGCTATGATGCGCTGTGCTATGATATGCTATGCGATGCTGCGCTATGCTATGCTATGCTAGGCTATGCTATGATATGATATGCTGCACTATGCTATGCTATGCTATGCTATGCTATGAGATGCTGCGCTATGCTATGCTAGCTATGCTTTGCTGTGCTGTGCTATGCTATGCTGCGCTGCGCTGTGCTATGCTAAGCAATGCTATGCTATGCTATGCTATGCTATGCTATGCTGCGCTATGCTATGCTATGATATGCTATGCTATGATATGTTGAGCTATGCCATGCTATGCTATGCTTGGCTATGCTTGGCTATGCTATGCTATGCTATGCTATGCTGTGCTATGCTGCGCTGCGCGATGCTGCGATGCGCTAAGCTAAGCTAAGCTAAGCTCAGCTAAGCTAAGCTTAGCCAAGCTGGGTGAACCCTGGGGGGGGAACTGGGGGAACCGCGGGGCGGATGCCGGGGGAACCGCCCGGGGCGCATTCCACTGCCCGGCCCTTTAAGCTTACCGAGTAAGAACCCTTCTAGGCAGAGCCTAGGTAGGGAATCAACTTTCGGAGGTCCACGCGGAGTTCTCGAGTCGGCGCTCGGTCCCCCACTGGCGCCGCCCCCGGCGCCACCCCTGGCGCGCTCCTCGCGCCAGGGAGGGGGGGCCAGCGCCCACCCAAACAATCCGCACGGGGCTCCGAAATTCTTCGTGTTATCATTACTGAAACATCGTTATCATCACTGATGTATTCAGGGCTAAACAAGGGCTACGGCGGGTTCGAGTCATGACGACACCGGCGCTGGCTTCTGACACCGTGGTGCGATCGGCGCCGTGCCGGCACGACGCGGACCTGCTGTACTCGAGCCCCCTGTGAATATACACCCCCTCCCCCAGGCGACCGGCAGCAAAGCAGGAACACTGAGGACACCATGGGGGCACACCCCCCACCATCCCTGTCAAAAAACATGACACAGTACACTTTGGGGCAAAGTCTGGACTCATGTTCGTGAGGCCCGCGAGCCCTTTGTTTTTGACAGGGACGGCGAGGATGTCAGCATATTGCCTGCTGTGCGCAGCGCTACCATCCCTTACAAAAATAATACAAAATGTACCTCGCGGCTAAATATAAATCATGCGCGGCCACCCCGCGATAACTATCAAGTGGTTTTTGACAGGGACAGCGGGGGTGGTGGCGTATGGCGTGCTGTGCGCAAGCCCACCAGATACAATGATGAGCATTGGGTTTCGACAAGGATGGTGGGGGCCGACGTGTTTCCCGATGTGTGCTGTCACGTGCGCAGGCGCACCTGACACACTCTGCACGTGCCTCGAACGTGGCGCACCTGGTGCGGCTGGAGTATGCGGCACACCTGGCGCACCAGACGTGCCTGGCACGCTGGGGCCCCAGGGGTGCCTGGCGCGCGTGGCGCGCCTGGCACGCGTGGCACACCTCGCCCCAGCGTCGCACACATGGGGTCGGTGTTGGTTCCCAGCAGCTGCTGCCCATCCAAAGACGACCGCTGAACATGCTCAGGTTCGGGTGTTAATCATGTGTTGGGAGGGCGGGTGGGAGTGAGCTAGACGGCTTGCTATCTATGGAGTGTGTTGATCACTGTTCCTGAGTCATATACACCCCTCCCCCAGGCGGCCAGCAGCCAACCAGGAACAATGAGGACCCCATAAGGACCCCCCCCCAAGCATCCTTCAAAAAACAATACGAACCCACACTCTGCCTCCAAATTCGGAGCATGCGCAACCAACCCGATGCGCCCCCCCCCCATCCTTATCAAAAACGATACGAAGTACACTTTGGGGCAAAGTCTGGAGCCGTGTTCGTGAGGCCCGCGAGCACTTTGTTGTGTTTTTGACACGACGGCGGGGGTGTCAGCATATTGCCTGCTGTGCGTAGGGCTACAATCCCAGACAAAAAGAAAATGCACCTCGCGGCTAGATATATATATCATGCGCGGCCACCCCGCGGTAATTACCAAGTGGTTTTTGACAGGGACGGCGGGGTGCGCAGGCGCACGTTGCACACGCGGAGGCACGTGGGGCACCTGGCGCACCAGGCGTGCCTGGCACGCTCAGGCCCCAAGGGTGCCTGGCGCGCGTGGCGCGCCTGGCACGCGTGGCACACCTCGCCCCAGCGTCGCAAACATGGGTCGGTTTGGTTCCCAGCAGCTGCTGCCCATCCAAAGACGACCGCTGAACATGCTCAGGTTCGGGTGTTACTGATGTGTTGGGAGTGCGGGTGGGCGTGAGCTAGAAGGCTTGCTATCTAGGGAACGTCTTGACCTCTCACCCTACCCCCGCCCCCCCTCCCTGGGTCTGCACGGGCCCCGTCGAGAGGCGTTCGAGCATCCAAGATGGCCCAAGATGGCCCCAAAGGGCCACAGATAGCCAGAGATGGCCCCCAAGGTCTCACAAGATAGCCCAAGATGGCTCACGATAGCTTCCAACATGCATCCAAGAGGCGCCATGACGGTCCCAAAATAGCTCCAAGTGGCCACAGAAGAGAAAATTAAAATCCCTTCAGTATCTAAAGATAGTAATACATGTGTTGTTTACCTTATCGTCTTCTCGCGCTTTCGATGGGTTTCTGAACCCTCAAGCTGGACCCTAGATGGCCAAAGGCCAGAGGTAGTCCCAAAAGGGCCTAAGACGGCCCCACGAGCACCCAAGAGCGTCCCAAGAGGGCACCAAGCCGCAACTTTTAGGCTTCCAGGGGGGGGGTCTGACATAAGCGCCGCCCCCTTCTTTGATCGATGGCCCCCAAGATGGCTCCCAGAGGCCCCAAAGGCCCCCACTAGGGCCCCACTAGAGCTCCCAGAGAGCCCCAAGAGAGCCCCAGAAGGGGCCTGAGAGAGCCCAAAGGCTTCCAAAATGGCCCAAGATGTCTCAAAGAGGCTCCCCCAGGTCCCTAATTTCACCAGTGAGAGCCTCACTGCTTTACTATAAGCTTACTCACGCCCCTCCTCCAGACAACTCCCCCGCGAAACATTCCTGGATGGGCTGGTGGGGACACTTTTTGGTCAACGGCCTCGTGAAGCGGGTCAAAAGGCGTCCAAAGCTGGTGGGGACACTTTATTTTTACAGCCGCAGGCGGAAGCGCCAGCGGCGGCGGGTCACGGTCGGGCTGCGACCGTGACGAATTAGCCGGGCGCGCGCGGGGGCCGCGGATCAGGCGGCGGTGCAAACTGCAGCCCAGGGAGTCTGAAGGGAAGCTGGTGGGGACACGCGAAGCGTCAAGAACTCGGCGGACCTGCTGGACCAGCACAGAGAATGCCTTGTCTCGCAGAGGCGGCGTGATCGGCGCTCGGGGGCGGCCTTTCGCCCCACAGGAACAA